CTTCAGAAACAAATACATAATGCCCAGTGGGCACATAAGATAAGATTGCCATCCAGTATGGGGCCCATCCAGGATGGTGCCCATCCAACATTTTCTTTATGTTGGAAAACATTGCATATCTGCATTTTAAAATGATGAAAGTAAATTCAACTTAAATGGTTGGAATGGCAACTTAATTTTAATTGACATGCACATGTGAATTTCAGTCCTAGTAAGTAGCTTTGAAGGATAACAGACTCTAAGTGTCAATGACGGTCGTCTTTTCAATGGGCTCCTTTCCCAATTCATTCACTTATCATTAAATCCTAAAATAGATGACCTATCATTTTAAGAATAGTTTCTACTCTATAACTTTGGGTACATTAAAGCACTGACCCAGGGACTTCAGAACTTGACGTTGAACCCCAAAATCTCATTTTCTGTGTGACCTTGAGCCAGTCACTTAACCTCTGAGCCTTAATTTTCTCTTCCTTAAAAAAAAAAAAAAAAAAAAAAAAAAATTAAATAATAGACCTGATTCTAGTGAACCCAAGGATCTAAGAAGAAGAACTTGGGGAGGGCAAAATCCTTTATGAATATAAAATTATCATTAATACACAGAATATTTTATCATGAGTTTTACGCATCATTATTACATAAATGGTTTTACTATGGAAAAGTGTGATTACTGTAAAAATGAAATCCAAGAGGGCACAGTAGAGATGGTCATGCTAAAAAGACCTGGTCAACTATTTACCATTTACAAATTAAATATAGGAATGACTATAATCCCTGGATGTGCAAAGCAATACCAGATTCTACTTCCTTGTACTGCTGTGCTTTACCAAACCAAATCTGAGAAACAATTTTAGTGCTACCCTTTTCATGGCACTAAAGATGAATCATAAAGCACACTGTATCTCTGATTACAATAAGACACTTCCGGCAATCTAGGACCCTACCCTTGGCTTACTGGTGGACTTTACTTTGACGGACACATGCACCCTCCTCCCTCCTGGCCAATGGCAAAGACTCAAGCCTTCACATAGAGCAAATTGTTGCTGCTGAATATTCAAACAGATCTCATGTTTCTATTTGTAACAGATTTCTACCTGTTTCATGATAGAAACAGATCTCATGGTCTATCATGGGAGATTGCTTCTACTTTTTTTTCCCCCATAAGTAATATGTACACCCTAGGAAGTTATCATCAAAGAACAAGCTCTTAGCCAACCTTCCTCTCCACAATATAAATGGTTTCTGAGTGAGAAATCAACTCATAAATTTGTGAAATACTAAGCACTAAAAATCTCTCAAACACTTTAGTCTTATGCTTTTTTTGTAATAATTTCAAGGTTTTGGGGAGAAACATGAAAACTTTTGGGTTGTGCATTTAAGATAGTAAAAGATTCAGGAAGCACAAAAAAGGGAATAAAATAAATGAAAGGAAGACAATTTAGTTAATTAAATTTTTTTTTTAAAAATCTGCAGTGTCAAGATGCTATGTTCAAAAAACAAACAAACAAACAAACAGAAACAAAAGCAAAAACTCACACATCACGAAATTTCTTTCAAAGTTTAGTCCAACTCTGCTCAATTATATGACTATAGAGAAGACGGGATGAATAATCAAGTTTTAGTTCTTCAACTTTGAAGGCACAAATCACTCATTAGCATGTTGCTCTGTTTGATGCAACTTACTTTGAAGAGCCAGAAATCAATACAAAAGGAAACAATAATAATAAAAGGAAAGATTTCTACTGTCATAATAGGGAAAGGTGTGTGAGCTGGAAGGAAGTACAGTACAGAGCCCATGACAAGTCATGATAAATGGGTCGTTATAAAATTCATGTTTAGGCAGCACCAGGCCGGGGATAATGCCATTCGTCATGGCAACACGAGGCCGCTAATGAGCCCTCATTGCATATTCATGTTTGTGGCATTTCTTCCCTCCCTCCCACCCTCAACTAGTGCCTGGAAATATCTCTACCTCAAGCTGAAGCTCAGCTTAGGCCTTCTTCTTCTTCTTCTTCTTCTCTCTCTCTCTCTTTTTTTTTTTTTTTTTTATTTGTTATGTTGCAGCAATTACACTGTAAAAGTGCTGCCCAAGATTGATTGCTCTGATCTGTAGTTCAATTGTAAATTAGAATACACATCCCCCCAGGGACACACGGCCCCTATTTGTGATTAAGAAAAAAGCCCCATAATAGACTAATAGCTAAAGTTCTCTCTCTTTTACTTTCAGGCAATTAGCTTGATGAAATGGCCTCTTTTTGTGTACCCTGGAAGTGTAAACCGATATCATAATGAAGTATATGATGTTTATTCTATTATTTTCACCTTGCTGGGTATGCAGGAATGCATAAGTAATGGCTGCTTTGTCTAGTACGTTTACTGATTCACAAGTAAACTATTTCTTAAAGATGCAGTGTATGCTTTCCGAGGCTTGAGTTAAGCAACTCCTAACTGTGGATTAACCTTCACACAAATGTCTACTGCAGGGGAGGAAAATGAATCCCCCAGGTTGGGGGACAGCATGATGCTGATATTCGAGAGGACTCCAGCCACTGGGGCTGCTCTGGGATGGATGTGGTGACAAAGTACAAGTGCCAGCACTCAGGATTAATGAAGACAGCAAGAAACTTTGGAAAAGTGTTCAATAGTGACTTTTTGCTCAGAGACTCCACCTGACTATAATGTACCCTTCGTCTCCCCTACTTACTTGTGGAACGCCAACTCACTTTCTGCTCTAAGGTGGCTGAAACTCTTCCTACACCATGGTTATACAGTTGGTTTTTTTTCCCAGCAGATTGCATGCACCCTTACTCATCCACCACCCCAAAAAAAGTCTTGTAGTTTCAAGATCCAACACATTGGCAAGAAAATATTCTTCAGCTTCCTACATGCACCAGATGACAGAGGTTTTGACCACAGAGCCAATGAATCATTTGCAGTTGGTGCATTACCAAAGCCATTTGTGTTCTTCCTGTGCAATATCTTAATATTTGTTCTGTTTTCATTCATGGGGCTCTCAAAATTAGAGGGAAAAAAAGGGTGTTGTGCATGGCAAAACAGAAAAAAGGAAAAAACAGAAAAGAAGAAATATAAATAGAAGAAAAAAACCCAAAAATCTATCTTGGTCTAAAGCATTTTATGGTGGGTAACTTAACAAGATGTTAATTACTGTTTCAATTCTACATTCTAATTCCCTACTGTTCATCAATAACCCAGTTTATTTCACCCCCAACAAATCCTTTCTGGGTTTGCATTTTCTAAACAAATCCATCCTTGTCTTCTTTAACATGAATCCAATTTGAGTTTCTTGAAAATATAAGGAAATCATATATATGGCAAAGGATCTCATAATTTTTAATGCTGAGTTTGATGGGCACTTTTAGATGTCTTATATTTTGAAAGTAATATGTGAGATAGTCGTTTGTCACATATAAAATGTGTTTGCCTTTCTTCCAGTTACTTCAGCTCCTTCTTGGTTAAATAAAACATTTTGGGGAAAATTTGTTACTATATTCTGGAAAGTAATTCTACTATTACATTATTTCCAAAACCCTACCAAGTGAGCTGCCAAAAAATATTTCACGAAAATTCACTTTATGCCTTCTTTCCTAAAAATCAAAAGTTTTTATTAAGCCTTATTTGGGAGGCTGACTTTCTCTTTAATTTGTACAACATTGAACTGCCTTCTAAATTATAAACCTGCAACACAGTAAGTGTAAATTTTCATCGCTCTCAGAAACTTTTGAATGTCTAGCCATGTTGCCATATTTAAAATATGCTATTTTCAATTTTCAAATGATATTGAGCTGGGTTGGTCTCCTCATTCACTTATATAACCTGTCACTTTTTTCTTTTTTTGAGATGGAATCTTGCTCTGTCACCCAGGCTGGAGTACAGTAGCATGATCCTGGCTAACTGCAGCCTCTAATCCTGGGTTCAAGCGATTCTCCTGTCTCAGCTTCCCAAGCAGCTGAGACTACAGGCACACGCCACCACGCCTGGCTAATTTTTTGTATTTTTAGTAGAGATGGGTTTTCAGCGTATTAGCCAGGATCTCCTGATCTCGATCTTCTGACCTCATGATCCGCCTGCCTCGGCCTCTTGAAGTGCTGGGATTACAGGCATGAGCCACAGCACCCGGCCAACCTGTGACATTCTTAAGTACACTTTTTCTAGAATAAGAATGCCTCCTATTTACAAGGTGCTTTATAATGTTTAAAGTTTTTCCAAATAGATTACCTTACATAAATAATTCTGAGATAAATGAGCCAAATAACCTTATTATTACCCCAAAGTTAGAGGGGGAAAAATTATGACTCAGAGAGCTGTGTGACTTGCCCAGAGTCACAGGTTAGTAAATGCAAAGTTGAGGCTTGTCCCCATGTCTTTAACTACAAAATGAGAGCTCTTTCTGGTATGCAATGCTGCCTCTTCACTAGGTGTACATTCCAGAAGCAGCAGCTCGCCGAAATCTCACAGCTCTTAACATAAACAAGATCTGTGATCTTTATTTATACATGCTGAAGATTAACAAATGAGTTTAAAGACACTTATGTGCATGCCCACACAAACACACACACACACACACACACCCTTCTTGACAAATTGGAAAAAAAAGTAATGAAATTCACACTGCATTGTTATCTACCAAGCTAAATTTAAGATAATCTATGTTAGATTATAAGCATATGCTTAGACTGGATATATACCAGGCACAGAATTGAAGCAATTATTTACATAATTCAAATTTGAGGGGCAGGCAGATTACCACTCTTCTTACAGTCCATTAATTAGGTTTGCATGTTTAGAGATTTGGTTGAGCCTTTTCACAAAACATCCCTTCAGACCTCTGCACTGCTATTCCCTCAGCCCACCCCTACACCATCTCATGAATTTCCATCTGAGTAACTCAACCCTGACCACCAATCTAGATTCAGCTCAAAGAGCACTTCTCCCTGGAGACATTCCCTGAGTTCTATCCATCCCTTTATCCCTGTTCCAAATACCTCTTTGGTTTGCTCTCCACTAAGGAGACTCCTTCATCCCAGTTTTGAAGCCAGTGAAGACAGAATTCTTGAAGCCAGTGAAGACAGGATTTGGATCTAGAATTCAGCAGATATAAACATTTCAAAAGGTGTGCTAGACCTGTCTGCCAAGGTGGCTCCCATGCTCCAGACCCCCTGTGTAACTTAACAAAATGTTAATTACTGTTTCAATTCTACATTCTAATTCCCTGCTGTTCATCAATAACCCAGTTTATTGGAAATTAGCAAAGCAGGGATTAGCAAAGCAGCTGTAGGCTGTTCTTTGCAAAGTAATGGCCACCATTTCAGTCAGCAGTGGACACCTAACTCATCGTCTGCCCATTGTTGGAGTAGCCTTGAGATGATAACTTCACCAAATAGAACATCTAGAACAGTAACTATTGAAGTAGGCAAAATCATGTCAGCCACAGTTTTTATGAGAAATAATTGCTGCCTGAACTTGAGAAAGAAATGACTCCAGAAATAATCCCAAAACACTGTATATATACTTCCAAATCTCAGATGCAATATTACCTAAACATAGGAGAAGTAAGGGTATATGTCATTATTTCTTTCATTTATTCATGTTTTCATTCATTCAAGAATTCATTCAACAAACTGCTTATTGAGCCTTGAGGAGATAATCATAAAAATGACATCATTCTGGCTCTCATAGTCATGGAACTTACAGTTTAATGGGAGAGATAAATATTATATAATCACACTAATGAATAGAAAATTGCATACTATAATATATACACAAAGTAAAAGTAAGAATAAAGTGGAACTTACAGTGAAGCCTTAATATAAACAAGTGCTTCAGTATAGAAGGTCTTGCAATAGAAACCTGAAGAATGAAGTTATAGAAGTATTAGAAAAAATAAAAAGATTTCCAAAAACATGTGGAAAGGTCCAGGAGTAGGAAACAATGTGGAAGGTAAAGAAATTACAAACAGGCCATGGAGCTTGGACCACAAGTACCTGGAGATAAAGTAGAATGTGATGAGCCATAGGTGAGCAGAGCCACATCACATAGGGCCTTGTAGACCACAGGCTTAGGTAGGAATTTTGGAAGCCACTTTTAAGCCCAGTGCAAAGCAACTGAGGAGTTCTAATCTGGAAAGGCCAATGATCAGACCCACAGCAGCTTAGAGGGTGATAGTGTTGTCCCATTTTGAATAAGAAACCTCAATTTGTTAGGAAAGAAACATACAATAGTTATATGTTTCCAACACTAACTAACCAATTTTGTCTAGGAAAACACTTTACCTTCCCTGGGAGAAAACAAACCCCTCTTCACCCCAGAAGAGGGAAGCCCAGTGCCAGGCCTGTCAGCATTGAATGGGGATGATCTGATACCAGGTATAATATCAAAGAGTTTTTTTTTTTTTTTTTTTTTTTTTTTTTTTTTTTTTTTTTTTGAGATTGAGTCTCACTCTGTTGCCCAGGCTGGAATGCAGTGGTAGTCTCAGCTCACCACAGTCTTTAGCTCTCAGGCTCAACTGATCCTCCCAACTCAGCTTCCTGAGTAGCTGGGACCACAGGTGCATGTCACCATGCCCAGCTAATTTTTATGTTTTTGTAGAGGGGGTTTTCACCATGTCACCCAGGCTGGTCTTGAACTCCTGAGCTCAAGCCATCCTCTTGTCTCAGCCTCCCAGAATGCTGAGATTACAGGGGTGAGCCACCATGCCTGGTCTTCAAAGAGCTTTTGAGTCAGTTCTGAGAAACACTGACTGCTCTTGTGATAGGATGCCATCTGCCAAAATGTGATAGCACAACTAGAAGATGCCTTATGGGGTCTGCATGAAATACATTCAGAGACTGGTTCAAAGATCCCATAAAGTAGTCATTCTCAGCATCTTGAAATGCTGGCCTTGACCTCATGACATGCTCCTGAGTCACTTTCCTACACCCACTGATCTGGTTAGGACCCACCCACGCCGAACCACAGCTCCCTGTTAGAGCACGCTGCTGTCATTGCTTGTTAATGGTCTTATCTCCTGCACTCAGCAGTGAGCTCACAGAACAGGAAGAGCATGTCTCTTACTCGCCCCTTTCTCCCTAATGCCCGGTACAGTGCAGGGCACTTTTAGACGCTTAGTCATGTTGGTGTGTTTCATTCGTGTTATGGTATGCAGCACTATGTGTTGTCATGGGTGATTTGTTTTTCTATCTGCTCCTGTGAGTTCTCTGCGAGTAGAATCCATGCCTCCATCTTTGCACCTCCAATTTATCAAAGAAGCTGGCTCATTGTTGGCACTTGATTAGGATTGATTAATTGATCAGTTAATTAACATATGGATAAAGCAATTAGGTATAAAGGACCTTCCTAAATGCAACCAACTCTACCTCTCTTTTAGTCAATCACAGATGCATAAAACCACATTGTCTGAGAATCTTACAAGTCATCAATATTCATTGGTGAGAGATGTGTTTTATGCTGCTGCTTTATGCATTTCTACATGTGATTATACACCCCAGAAAAGAGTGCATGTAAAACTGCTGAAGCCTGAATAAAGCCTCTAACTGAGTTAACAATATTGAATCCATTTCCTAATGTTTAGAATGTGCTGTGGTTATGTGATATGCTGTCTTTGGGGAAAGCTGGGTGAAGGGTACAGAGGATCTCTCTGAATTATTTTTACAACTTCAGTGAGTCCTATACTATTTCAAAATAAAATGTGGTAATTTTTAAACACTTTCTGATTTTTATGTTTATACTTTTACATATATTTATATATATATATTTTTATAACATCTAAAATGTAGCTGAAATGTCATAAATAATAATTAAATGATAGTATCATATGTTACACTAGCATACAGGAAAGTAAATTCCCTAATGTGGGGATTTGGGATACTATTCTTTTTGTCTGGCTAGGTTGGCATTTAAAATATACTAGGAGAGGAAGGAGATGCATTACTTTTGCCTGATTCAAGCATATTTTTGAAATGATGTTTTCATAAACAAAGTGCCAACAGCTATGATCTTATCTTCTCTCTTCTTTGTATCCTAATTCAGGTCAATAACAAGTATTTCTGCTCTCTTCTGCAGATTCTAGGTTTTGGAAGAGAGGAGGCAATGATGAGAAACGGGGAACTGTTAGCGAAAAATTCACAAGAAGTTAGAGGGCCTTTAAACTTTTTTCTACCCAGTGTCGTCCTTTTAAGAAATAATGTCAGTTTGAGAGAGTGATGCTTTAAATAAATAAGGCTGGCGTTTACAGTATTACTGGAGTTTTAAATTACATGTTCAAGATCCCACTGTTGGTTACATGGATAACAATGTAGATCATCATATCTAAACTTTGAAGCGTGGCAGGCAATTCTTTTACTCTCTGAGAGATCTGAAAGCCACCCACAAAAATTCCATATGGCAGATTAAGGAAAAATGTCAATATCTCTTAAACTTCTTAAACATGTAAGTTCAGGAAAAAAAAAAAAAGTCTTTTAGCATAAAGAGCTGCAGTTTCCAATACTATTCCATTAATTAGCTTCCTGCAGTCAATCAAATAAAAATTCTGAAATAGCCTGTAGATGTCATAAACCGAAAGTCAGATTCAAAGATGAATGCCTTTCTCCCATACGCTTCCTTGTTTTTCAGGAAACTGCAAACTTGTCAGTAGGTACATCTAAGCAGTATACTTGCCCAGAAGTCCCTATAGTTTTATGATAACGTACATAAACTAAGTTCAGCTCAAGGTATGGCATAGTAGCTTCATCTTACAGACCCACCGGTTTGTCCCAGAGAGATTCTGAAGGAGACAGTATAATAACCAAGTGCAGGAACACAGTGCCTCTCTGCTTGCTAGAAAAGCTCATTAGAGAAGGGCATCCATCTTTACTTCTTCAGGATAACATCCATGAGCTGTGAAAATAGAGTTTAACTTAGTAAGGGAAAGGGAGAATAAATGCAAGAATGTTCTTAGCATCTAGCATATTGAATCATGAATCAAAGAAGAATAAACTATAATTACCTCTCATTTCATCGAACGGAGAAATTTCTTCCGCACAATCTTTTGTGTGGCAAGAATAAAGCTTCGTTCCAAAGAAAATCCAGTTAAAATATCTCAAAAGAGATAAAATACGTGATCCTGCAGCTCTTTAATGCTTGTTACTGGCCAAATCTTGCAATTAGAATCAGTCACTTTAAGTGCTGAAGTTGTATAATGCTAATAGATCACTTTATAATGTGAGCAGTTTTTTAAAGCTGTATTTAATTTTCCATCATTACAGTACTGAATGCTGGTTGCGTCTGTCCATTCTGATATAGGTTCTTAAGTCTCCATAGGGTACAGACTACTGCTTACCTAGGCATTGCTTGATTCTGGCTTTAATTCTCAGAGGCCTGAATTAGAGCTGTAAAATGACTGTATTTCAACTTTCTCCCTAAATGTGTTTATGTTTATTTTCAAGCCAAATAATGAGGGCTCCCTTTGATTTCATAATTATCTCATTTCAAAAAATAGAAATCGAGGTGAGGTGTGTATGTCTAAATGTATGTGTGCACATGCACACGTGTGTGGTTTTCTTTAAGAAAATGAAATGAACCAGAAAATAAGCCCTTAGCAGTAACCTAAGAAATAAAACAAAATCATTTACAACACATGGGATGTTGCAGGGTATGTCAAGATTAGATGGTTTTAAGGGAGCTATCCTGAATGTGGAAGCAATTATCACGAAATTCATGACTCATTAGCAAACATTCCATATTGTGTTTCTCATTGCTGGGTCAATGTTACTAGGAAATATAGACTTAAGATTTAGATGTTTCATTGACTTCAGCACTACATTATAGACAGTTGGACTGTACAAAGACATAAAGCACAAGCTCTAGGGTTTTGAAGTTCTTCACTTCTCAGATGTAGGCAATTTATCCTAAGATACATATGAACAAAGTAACTTCAAAAATGTATTAGTAAGAATTAAGTTGGTGATAGAAGGGTTGTCTGTAAATGTAAAGAATTACATGGTGCAAATGCATACTGGTGAATGTCGGTGGGGATTTTGCCTGCACACTGCTTGGTATGCAAAATGGCTGGTGAACTCAAGTACCCGATACTGTAGGTAATGGGAACCAGATGTCTAACAGGGAGAGAAAAATATTTTATAGCAATAAATGTGACATTGACTCTTAAAGGGTTTGCTGTTGTTAAACAACTTCCCATTCTTACTTTCTCTCATATTTTAATGTAGTTTAAAGTAGATTGTATAAGGAAATTATTTTCATATTTTAAAAGAAAAAGTATTCAACTTACCACTAACTTATAAAATGCAGATATAAGGAGAAATGATCGGAATAAGATAATTTTGGAATTCGTTCATTTACCAAAGCACTGTGCTCAGCAATGTAAAAAATATATATTAAGGTAAATAAAGCATAATTCCTCGTGCCCTTAAGGAACTCAAAACATACTAGATGTGATAAGATGCACACAGCTGAATGGGAACATGGCACAAGCAAGCCCTGGGAAAGACACACAAAGTGTTCTGAGAATTCCAAGGAGGAAAAGAAAAGGCGATGGCCAGCAGGCTCCGTGAAGGAGGGTCCTGCTGATCCATCCTGCTCAACGTCTCCCCCGTCCACCCCCTCCTCTGCACGGCACTAGGCCACCTTGGGGAAGGCCCTCCTGCTCTCTGGCCAATGCAGGGGTCTCCAGTAGCTCAGCAACTTTGCTCTCTCAGCATTTCCACACTCATGCCCCATGCAACCCTGACTTTGCTGCCAGGATGGTTGTTCAAAAGCACTAATCTAGCTGGGGAGCAGGGTGCCCTGATGATTAAATTGCAAGCTCTGTAATAAAGCTTGGGGTTCACTTCCTGCTCTGAGGTTTTTTGGTTGTGACCTTGGAGAAGTTACTTAGCTGATCTCCCTCTGTCTGCTTTTTCTCCTCTGTAATAGCAAGTGTCTTATAGGCTTGGAGTCAGGATTTCATGAGGTGCTGCACACCATGTGCTTTGCACAGCACCAGCATTGAGTCGGGACACTGTTGGAAACTCTTTTAGCTGTGACCCGATCAATCATCGAATCTCGTTTGTTTGTTTGTTTGAGACAGAGTCTCACTCTGTTGCCCAGGCTGGAGTGCAGTGGCGCACCGCAACCTCCGCCTCCCAGATTCAAGCATTTTGGAATTCATTCATTTACCAAAGCAGCCTGCCTCAGCCTCCCATGTAGCTAGAATTACAGGTGTGAGCCATGATACCTGGCTAATTTTTTGTTGTATTTTTAGTAGAGATAAGGTTTTTGCCAGTTTGGTCTCGAACTCCTGACCTCAAGTGACCACCAGCCTCGGCCTCCCAAAGTTCTGGGATTACAGGCATAAGCCATCACACCAGGCCCAGTCTAGTTTTTACAGAGCAAAATCCAAAGCCTCTATTTTGGCATGCCAGACTGTTCATGAGCTGGCACTCACATACTTCTCCAGTTCTTTTTATTGATCCCTTTCATTAAATACTCAACTTTCTTGCCATCCTTGTCAGCCTGTCTTTGTCCAAGCAGGCCTCCTGTGCTCCAACCCCATGCCTCTGCACATGCTGTTGCCCCTGCCTTAAGTGCTCCACTTTCCTTCCACCACTCTGCATTGCAAATTCCTGCTTAAACTGCAGGCCTCCCTTTCCAGATCTTTCTGACTCTTCCCTGTTATCCTGTGAAAGAACAAAGGCCTTCTTCCCATAGGTTATGGGTCTTAAACTCACAGGGCCCACACAAATAGCATAAATAAATGAAGTAGTACAGGATGAGACTACAGGGAGTGGTGGGGCTGTAGTTAAAAACGAGAATTCATATCTTTGATTTTTGAGATGGAGTCACACTCTGTCACCCAGGCTGGGGTGCAGTGGAACAATCTCCACTTACTGCAACCTCTGCCTCCTGTGCTTCTCAGGTTCAAGGGATTCTCTAGCCTCAGCCTCCTGAGTAGCTGACCGCTATCACTCCTGGCTAATTTTTGTATTTTAAGTAGAGACAGGATTTCACTGTGTTGGCCAGGCTGATTTCAAATTCCCGACCTAAGTGATCCGCCCACCTCAGCCTCCCAAAGTGCTGAGATTACAGGCATGAGCCACCGCTCCCAGCAGGAGAACTCATTTCATTCCCTGGCTAAAAGATCAGCCAGGCCTCACTGTTGCCATGGTGGAATAGGGGCTCATTATTGCCAATTCTCTTGTTTTCTCAAGGTAAGACAGAAATATGTATTTTTACCTAAAATCTCCAGCGTTTTGTTGGTAACTAAAAATAATAAACAAATATTATAACTTTAGAACAGCTGAAACCCCCTGGGGACCAAGTGGCTAACTGCATGTAGACCTTGGCTCTTGGAATGCCTTATTCTGGGATTTCTTTACAGGTATCCACCACCAGTCTGGTGAATTTAACTTTGCCCTTTAATTGTTTGCACATCTACTTCCCCAGCAAACTATGCTCTTGAGGATAAGGATCATATGGGGTTACCTTTGTCTTCCTAAGGGTAACAGCACAGGGGGTGGCTCAATGAAGCATCTCACTCAATTTCATATTGACATTTTCCAGAGCCTTGAAGTCAGGGAAGGGTCTGCTGAAGGGAAGTCGTTCCAGGGGCATCAACAGATAAAGATGTTCTTATTCCAAGTGTCCCTGTTTCTAGAAAAGAAAGATTTTACAGATATTGTAAGCCTTCCTCTACATTTGACTTCCTTAGGACCATCTGGAACTCTTCCTATGATGGCTGCAAAGCCTACTCCATCATTAGCAACACTCCAGCCAGCTCTCCAAATATAAACCGAATCCATAAATCTAGGCTATATATAAACTTAATCTATACCTGACATGTGAGTGAATAGCTAAATAAATTAATTAAATTTACCCCAAAGAGTTCCAACTCAAATGTCAGATATGACGTTTTAATTTTGTTGGAAAGTGAACATAGACCACATCCTGGACTCAGAAAAAAACATGTTTTCTCCATGTCTGAGGCCAAGAAGAAAATGGTTAAGATGGGGATGGTAGATAACACTGAAGATTCAGAGACAGCCATCCTAGTGCATGTTTTTGGTTTGTTTGTTTTTGTTTGTTTGTTTGTTTGTTTTTTGAGATGGAATCTTACTTTGTCACCCAGGTTGGAGTGCAGTAGTGCAATCTTGGCTCACTGTAACCTCCGCCTCCTGGGTTCAAGCATTTCTCCTGCCTCAGTCTCCTGAGTACCTCGGACTACAGCCGCATGCCACCATGCCTGGTTAATTTTTAATATTTTTAGTAGAGATAAGGTTTCACCATATTGGCCAGGCTGGTCTTGAGCTCCTGACCTCATCATCTGCCTGCCTCAGTCTTGCAAAGTGCCAGGATTACAGGCATGAGCCACCACTTCCGGTCCCTAGTGCGTGTTTAAAAATTTTTTATGTCCGTAATCTTTGATCCAATAATGCAACTTCTCAGCATTTTTCTCAAAGAATAATCATGCACAAATATTTGACTGTAAGGATGTTCATTGCCGTTCTGTTTATAATGTTGAAAATAGAGGCAGGGCATGGTGGCTCATACTTGTAATCCCAGCACTTTGCAAGTCGAGGTGGGCAGATCACACAGTGTCAGGGGTTTAAGACCAGTGTGACCAATGTGGTGAAACCCCTGTCTCTACTGAAAATACAAAATTTGCCAGGCGTGGTGGCATATGCTTGTAATCCTAGCCACTTGGGTGGCTGAGGCAGGAGAATCGTCTGAACCCAGGAGGCACAGGTTGCAGTGAGCTGAGATCACACCATTAAACTCCAGCCTGGGCAACAAGAGCGAAACTCCATTTAAAAAAAAAAAGGAGAAGAAAATAGAAGGGCTGTTACAGGAGCAATAGCAGAGTACTGGGTTCATAATTATAAATAATGACAGGTGAAATCTACTGCACCTTCACTTATATGACAGAAAATGTTCTTCAAGCTTTAAGAATCATTAAATCATTTAAACTTCTTGTTGTGCCTATCTTACAGAGGAGGGAACTGAGGCACAGGGTGTTTAAATAATTTTCCCAAATCACACAGTCAACAAGTATCAGGGCAGGCAGTTGAACTCAGTACCATTTAACACCAGAGCTCAAGCTTCTCCTACAAATTGTACTTCTCTCGTAAGTATTGAGACACCCACAATAGTTACTCCAAGAAAAAGATGATGTATTCTTCAGTGAACAAAGCCTGTACCTGTCATCCTGCCTAGACATTACTAGATGAAAATATTGGAATACCATAGATACTGCTTCATTAAAGACAATGTTAGGTAAGGATGCAAAGCTATTCCACAAAAATCCCTGCAGGGATCAGTGCTAGGATATAAGAAGTCTCTGCTCCTAGAACTCTGCCATCTCTTCCTCTGCTTCTCACTGTCTCCTCTGCTCATCTCTTGCAAACCACCTTCTCCACTAAAGCTTTAACTTTCAAGGTACAAATCCTTTATTTTTCTTGAGATGGAAGTTTTGCTCTTGTTGCCCAGGCTGGAGTGCAGTTGCACTATCTCGGCTCACCACACTCCACCTCCAAGGTTCAAGCGATTCTCCTGCCTCAGCCTCCAAGCTGAGATCACAGGCATGTGCCACTAAGCCTGGCTAATTTTGTATTTTTAGTAGGGACAGGGTTTCTCCACGTTGTTCAGGCTGGTCTTGAACTCCCGACCTCAGGTGATCTGCCAGCCTCAGCCTTCTAAGGTGCTGGGATTAACAGGTGTAAGCCACCGCACCTAGACTTGAGGTACAAATTCTAATCCCATGTTGATATGGTTTGGCTGTGCCCCCACCCAGATCTCACAATGAATTGTAATAATCCCCATGTGTCAAGGGTGGGACCAGGTGGAGATAATGGAATCATGGGGGCAGTTTCCCCCATACCATTCTCCTGGTGGTGAGTAAGTCTCATGAGATCTAGTGGTTGTATAAATGGGGAGGTCCCCTGCGCTCTCTCTTGCCTGCTGCCAGGGAGACATGACTTTGCTTCTCCTTTACTTTCTGCCATGATTGTGAGGCCTCCCCAGCCATGTGGAACTGTGAGTCCATTAAACCTCTTTCCTTTACAAATTACAAAGTCTTGGGTATGTCCTTTTTTTTTTTTTTTTTTTTTTTTAGCAGTGTGAGAATAGACTAATACATATGTCAATGTGATATTATAGTACCAGTCCCCCATACAATCTGGTTTAATCCCAGGGCAAGAGCAGGAACTAGCCCAGCTGGGTCAGATGACCATGCCTGCTCCAATCAGCTGGGGCCAGGGAATGGAGTTCTGCAGAACTGGTTCAATAAAATAGGAAGTGGCTTGGACCATCTAAGTGGTAAGACTACTTTTTTGGCTACAAAAAACATAATTAGGCTGGGTACAGTGGCTAACGCCCGTAATCTCAACACTTTGGGAAGCTGAGGTGGGTGGATCATGAGGTCAGGAGATTGAGCCCATCCTGGCTAACATGGTGAAACCCCATCTCTACTAAAAATACAAGAGATCAGCCAGGCGTGGTGATTTTTTTACAGACGTGCCTGTAGTCCCAGCTACTCAGAAGGCTGAGGCAGGAGAATTGCTTGAACCTGGGAGGCAGAGGTTGTAGTGAGCTGAGATCACACCACTGTACTCCAGCCTAGGCGACACAGACAGACTGTCTCAAAAAACTAATAATACGAAAAGTAAAAAACATAATTTGAAAGAAAAATGATGCGAAGGGGCCAGCCTACATGAAGGTATTAACAATGTCTCTGTCTACAGTGTTTGTTTTCTTATTTTTGCTTGTCTGTGTGTTATAAATTTTCTAAAGTGGACATATATCACTTTATACTAAGAGGATAAAAGAGACCCAACCTAAGTGGCTCATGCCTGTAATCCCAGCACTTTGGGAGGCCAAGGCAGGCGGACTGCTTGAGGCCAAGAGTTTGAGACCAGCTTGGCCAACATGGCTAAAATTAGCTAGGTGTGGTGGTACAGGACTGTAATCCCAGCTACTCGGGAGACTGAGGCACAAGAATCACTTGAACCTGAGTGGCAGAAGTTGCAATGAGCCAAGATTACATCTTTGCACTCCAGATGGGACAACAGAGCAAGACTCCATCTCAAAAACAAAACAAAACAAAAACAAAGAATGTCCCAAGTGGGTGGTATTTGGAGACTAAAGGTCCAGATCAAGAAAAAAGTAATTTCACTGATGATGCAATATAGTAAATGCTTACCAAAGAAAGGTTAGCAGCTGAACAGCAAACCCTGCCTGAAAGCCTTTGTACTGGAGCAAGCTTCATCATGAAGATCTCAAAGCTGTATCTGGTGGAGATGCCAGACATGTGACACCACGGCCCACTGTCACATGACACTGTGCTGGACAACTGGCTCCTGGGATAAGACAAGTCAGAGCAGAGAAGGGCATGAGTCATGTGGAATATAAGATAGGATTTGAGGAGGCAAGACAATGGCTGTAAAGAAGGAAAACAAAATGAAAATGTGTATTTCAAGCAGCTGAGGAATGAGACAAGAGCAGAGAAAAGTTCACTGGTCTGAAAAATTGCAATAGGATAGCAAGTAAGTACAGAAGGGGAAGGGGAGATGAATCTTTCTCATGCACAGAAAGGATAAAGTCATGGCAGAAGAACAAAAAAGGGAAGGTTTTTGGACCGTCACAGAGCCTGTAATGCCAGCACTTTGGGAGGCCAAGGCAGGCAGATCATTTGAGGTCAGGAGTTCGAGACCAGCCTGGGCAACATGGTTAAACTCCATCTCTACTAAAAATACAAAACGTAACTAGGCCTGGTGGCACACACCTGCAATCCCAGCTACTCGGGATGCTGAGGCAGGAGAATCGCTTGAAATTGGGAGGTGCAGTTTGCAGTCAGCCAAGATTGCGCCACTGCACACCAGCCTGGATGACAGAGTAAGACCCCGTCTCAAAGAAAAAATAAAAGAATTATTCTCAACCTAATGTTCTCTTGGGACACTCATCTTTGGAGTCCTGAGTGCCCATCTAAGAAGTGCAAGGATGAGATGCTGTGAGAAAGCTCGAACTACATGGAGTGACCCTGTGAATGGGTTCCAGCTGAGGTCGCAGCCATGGCCAGCATCAAGCAACAGACATGAGAGTGAAGCAGCCTCAGCGATAACTTCAGCCTTGGCCACTGCCAGACCTCATTCCTATCCTCATGAAAGCCTGTGTGGGAACCACTCAGCGATCCCAGTCAACACTCAAAACAATGACAGATCATCATAACCTGCTTGTTGTGGTTTTAAGTTAATAAACTTCAGGGTAATCTGTCCTGCAGAAGTAGGTAACTGGTTTAGAAATAGTTGGTTCTCAACAAGTTTCTATTAAATTTAATCCAATAGCAGGTAAGGGAAGGCAACATTGTGTCGATCTTTTTCTCCCTTTTTGTCTAACTGCCTGCGATTCTGTTTCTTGGTCAGTCTCTCCTTACTTCCTCTCTCTCTCTCTTTTCTCTGTCTCCCTTTCTCTCTCTCTTTCTCTGCAAATTCAGAATTCTCCCATTTGTTGTGTGTGTCCAGGGAAGTTGGAGAAACCAGAACTTCCATCTAGACAGCCAGGGCTCTCTCTACATCTATAAAAGGCCTCTGTTTTCTCTCTTTTGACATAAAGAAACTCAATTCTTTTTTTTCTAACTGCTCCCATTTCTCTGTTCTGTACTGACTTTATTCCTCCTTCCTGAGTGATCTTTGAGTCTTCTGTGTACTTTTTAGGTTGTAAAACAAAGAACAAGACACCCTACCCCAGTGATGATCTTGGCTATGACATTACCCTCATCTGGAAAGTGCTGTTATTTTTGGCCACCTTCGGATCTTCTTGTAGCTGTTCCACCCCTCTGCTGCAGGAGTTCCGACTCACTTCCCCGGGCAGTCCAGGGGGTCTGCAGACAGCAGCTGCACTGGGAGCCTGAGTGGGAAGACAGCAAGCCGGGTGGTCAGAAGAATCTCTGTGAGGATGCGGCTTCAAATGAGGCAGTGTAGGCGGGAATGCAGGGACCCTGTGGCCTGCAGACAGCCTGGATCGCCTTGCCAAGAGTGGGGGTGACTCATAGAATGGTGGCTGAGCAGCTGATAAAGTGTGGAGGCTGAAGGAGACCCAGAAATCTGGACCGGAAATCTTCCCCCACACCCAGTGTGGAAGGATGTCTGCTCCATCTGCGCTGCCCCTCAGAGATGGCCTGGCCACCACCTGGGAGTGTCAGCCTGGGGCAAGCCTAGGTGGGCACCCATCGACCGGTTCACACCCTTGTTCAAACACACAGTATCATGCAGGAGCACAGACCTATTTGCCAGAAAGATGAAGAAGCCAACCACCAGGAATGGCAAACACGTTGCAAAGAGGACCGCGTGCAGGGTTGGCCGGGCGCACTAGCAACAGGCCAGGCAATATCATCTCAGGTCAAGGAAAAAACCCCATGGCCAAAAATAGCTGCCCTTCCCAGTTGCCACAGTGTCTAAAATTATACCGTTGGAGATTTATTCCTTTGCGCACCTCACCTTTGCTGCGGGGCGAGTCTGGGGAGGACCCAGGAAGTGTCTTCACATTAAGGTGCAATAGGCCTGGCAGCTCCACAGAGTTATTTGGGGGCGGGAAAGGAGGGAGGTGTTGAAAGGGCAGGAACAAGGCAGAGGAAGTGCTGGGGAGGGACAGCACTGGGCAGCATCTCCTATTTCAGAGTTTTACCCCGAAGGAGCCTAGTTGGCAGCTACATCATAAAACTGAGGCCTAAGCAATTTGCCAGTAAATTTGAACCATGCATGTAAACAATTCTAATAATTTATTTTTTGCAATGCTTCGGATGATCCTTTATCATGCAGAGCTACACATAACTCTACTTCTAATTGCCTAAACGGGAGAAAAATGTACATTAAAGGGCAATTAATAACAAGAAGCAACACGAGGAAACTGTGTATGCATAAGCTAGTCATGCTGGAACAGAGGGAAGCTGAAGGCAGCCACTCAGGCCACTGCAACCAAAGTCTGAGTTTCCGGGGGAAGATTCCTTCAGAAATTCAGGCAAGGGCTGTCTTTATACTTAGAAGTTTGGATAACCTGATCCCAGAAGATTAAGCAATAAACAGAATAAAAGAGAACAATTGCTATTAGAAAGCTACATTCAGTCCACTGCATCAATACACAGTGGCTCTATTTTAAAAGTTCCTAAAATGTAGATTAAAAATTCAGAAAAGTAAGTTCACCCTGCTTAAGCCCTCTCTGGGACAGAAAGCTAAGTACCGTGGATGCTGCTGGTGAGCTAGGCAGGGGCAGGGATTACACAGGGAATAGAATAGAAGGGAACTGTCAGCTGGAATCCCTGCACGGGGTCACTCCATGTAGCCTGAGCTTCCTCACAGCATCTCATCCTTGCACTTCTTACATGGACACTCAGGACTCCAAACATGTCCCAAGGGTTGAGAGGCTGGATTATTCTTTTTTTTTTTTTTTAGATGGAGTCTCATTATGTCGCCCAGGCTGGAGTGCAGTGGTGTGATCTTGGCTCACTGCAACCTCCACCTCCCAAGTTCAAGTGATTCTCCTGCCTCAGCCTCCCAAGTAGCTGGGATTACAGGCGCCTGCAACCATGCCTGGCTAATTTTTGTATTTTTAGTAGAGATGAGATTTAACCATGTTGCCCAGGCTGGTCTCAACATGAGGAAGGGAGAAAGGAAGGAATGAAAGAGCAGAGCCTGACACTGGGAACAGCTGGTTCCCTCAAGAATAACCACACCTCTATACCATTTGGCAGTTTAGAAAGAACTTCCACTTTAACTTTGCCTTCAGGCCTCCAACTCCATGAAGGAAGGAATTTTACTCTCATTTTTATGAGAATTCTTTGGATGAGAGCATTTAGGTAAGTTGTCCAAGGCCACACAGCTAGTAAGCTGGGGACCATAGTTAGGTCTTGAAACCCAGTCTAACAAACTACTGTCCCTCTTTGTTTATTTCAACAGAATTGGGAGTTACAGAACATGAAGATTCAAGAAATGATCCTCCTGGATCTACTGAGTAACTTCCTGGTGATTTTGGTAGCTAAGACTTTCCTTCTTAACTTTAATTCATGTATGCACTTAACAAATAATGATTGAGCATCAAGAACTACTGGGCATTGTTCCAGAGCTTGAGTTCGCCTTCACGGAAATTTTACCTAGGGGGACTCCTTGACAGCTGATGGCAACTGTCCCCATGTCAGAGAGTGATTCCCTGACTGTGCAATGCAAAGTGTTTCCAGCCACTCTTCCACTCTTACCGTCATACTTAATACCATCTAAAACCATGTGGTTAACGGATTTATTCACTATGTTACTGTTTATCTCCTTTAGAAAAGTAAGTCCTTCAGAACAACGACCCAGTCTTATTTGAAGCAGTCTTTCCAAAATTAGAACAATTCCTGCACATAATAGGCACTCAATCAATATTTGTCCAATAAATGGCATTGACTACCAAGGAGAGCTTTTTACCAATGCCTACTATGCTCACAAAAGAGTGTGAGACTACTTCCATAAATCATTTCATTTAATCAAGATTATAGATGCCAAAATAGGAACTATATGAAGAAAATAGCGTTTTAATATTAGTGAAGAAAGTGTTTGGAAGAAATAAGGGTCAACTTGAAATGTTTCTATCCTGCACCACTTAATACAAGAACAAGGGCTATTTTGTGACATTCAAAGGCAACAAATTCAAAACTAAGAAAAAGAAATACTTTTTAAAGCAGCGTATAATCTACCTGTGGAATTCAGTGCCGCAGGATATTACTGAGGCAAATAGTCTAGCAAGATTCAAGAAAGGATTAGACATTTATATGAATAGGAATAATATTGGCAGTTACACTAACTAGGTTAAAAAGTTACAAGGCATGTCTGTCCTGGGCTCCAGGGCATAGCTGTTCACCAGCTGGAGTGAGTAAGGAATTTCCTCCTGGGATGGAGCATTGCAGAATTGGCCAGATGCACAATGGCCCATATTTTTGCCATCTTCTGTAACATAGGCAGAGACCACTGCCAAGGGGAAGTTTCTAGAGTAGATGGACCAATGGCGTCCAAACATGGTCTTTCTGTCTTCTCCTTGAACCGTCCTGAACAGGAGATGGAGTGTGCACGTAATGTCTTTTGGGACTCGTACTGAGAACTTTTCAATTTCAGAAAACAGAAATGGTAAAAATAACTTCCCTCTTCCTAATGATGAAAATATTACATGGAATGAAATCGTGCCCTGCCTATAATCTTATTAGCAGCACAGCCAATAGTGCTGGGAGGCTGCCTGAGCTCTTCCAAACCTCAAAGCAAGAATCCTTGTCAAATCTCCTACAAGGACATCATCTACCCATGTTTTACATCTATATATTACTGTGCCTTATGCACATGTGCTTAACACATGCGTTTAATGAAAATGCATTTCTGCAGATGTGAAAAAAGCCTCTCATAATGCTGTCCACTTACCTAGCGAAGCTTCTCTCTTTCTTACAGAGTCAATTACACTGCCAGGCACAACCTTTGATTCTTGATGATGTATGCCATGCATTTTTTTCATTCTAACATGAAAAATCCGAAAGGTAGTTGTTAGCTATGCAACCAAATACAAGTGTTCACAGTGGTATGGTATCATATTAATGAAAACATAGAAACTAAGTTATGCATTATTCTTTCTTACTTTACTGACCTCAGTTTTCCAAGGTGTAGACAACACTCTGAAGAAACTGTATCAGTATTTCAATTATTAGAGATACAGGCCAGGTGCAGTGGCTCATGCCTGGAATCCCAGCACTTTGGGAGGCCCAGGCAGGTGGACCACTTGAAGTTAGGAATTCAAGATGACCAGCCTGGCTAACATAGTGAAATCCCTGTATCTACTAAAAATACAAAAATTAGCCGGGCATGGTGGCGTGCACCTGTATTCCAGATGCTCAGGAGGCTAAGGCAGGAGAATCACTTGAACCTGGGAGGCAGAGGTTGCAGTGAGCCAACTTCACACCACTGCACTCCAGCCTGGACAACAGAGCGAGACTCTGTCCACCTCCCACAAAAAAAAAAATTATTAGAGAAAGTACTTCTTTCTCCCAAACTGAGATATAAAGAACATTCTGCAAGCCAAAACAGAAAGGAAAATTTTAGTTTAAATCTTCAAACCAGCAATAAACCTAAAAGTTTTCAAAGTTTCCTGAAAAATAAAGATAAAATTAAAATATATACAGCAAAATGCTGTACAAATGTTAATATATATGTTCTTCCGGAGAGAGAGGGAGAAAGAGAAACTATAGATTCCATTAATATCTTCAGATGTGTTCTCTCACAATATAAGTCAAGAAAGTTAAGAAACACTAACCTAGGTCCCCAGTCCAAAAGGAAATTCTCACCTAAGTCTGGACAAAGTCCTTTCCAACTATAGGTAGGACTTATTCCCTTGAACTTTCCTTAAATTAGCAAAATAATATCAATTAGATTCTCTTGGTCAAAATTCATTCATTTAGTGCCTGGTTCCCACCCAGAGAAGAAAAACCCTTCAAACATTTAAGTGTTGAAGGCTACTTGCTATTTTATTAGCGGGTTGCAAACAAGCTTTTTTAAGTTTGGCCATTTTCTCTGGTCCAAGCTTTCCTAGTTATTTTTTCATGTGGTTATTATTAGAGAAGAGCTTGTCTGAATTTTGTATGTTGATGTGGGATTTTTTGAAATTTTTTGGTTGTTGATGTTTGTTTTTTACTTATAACCACATATTATGAGGAATTGTAAAGTATTATAAATTAATAGTGTAAGCTCTGTAGTCAATTAGAATGGGCTGAAGTCTCACACTAGACTCCAAATAAACCAATTAGCCTTCCCAGGCCTCTCTTTTTTAATCTGTAAAATGGAGACATAATAATATCTACCACACAAAGTCTCTATACAAAATAAATGAGACAATGCCTATAAAACATGTGGCATTCGCTGGGCACAGTAACTCACGCCTGTAATAGCAGCACTTCGGGAGGCTGAGGTGGGTGGATCATGAGGTCAAGAGATGGAGACTATCCTGGCCAACATGGTTAAACCCCCTTTCTACTAAAGGTACAAAAATTAGGTGGACGTGGTGGTGCGTGCCTGTAGTCCCAGTTACTCAGGAGACTGAGGCAGGAGAATCACTTGAACCCTGGAGGCGGAGGTTGCAGTAAGCTGAGATCTTGCCATTGCACTCTGGCCTGGTGACAGAGCGAGACTCTGTCTCAAAAAAGAAAAAAAAAAAATATGGTATTGTGCTTCTCATATATTAAGTGGATAATATTATGTATTAGTATGATTATGCATATTTTGTCTATGTATTTATAATCATAAAGAGTGCATATCCTGTTTCCTTATTATCAGATCATTCTCATACATTTTTATGGCCCTTGATACATATTGCAAATCAATTTCCAAACGGGTTTTGCTAATATATCCTAGCACAGCAATATCACAGTGTCAGTTTTACCACTCCTTGGTTAAAAATGGGAATTACTGTTAACCAGGTATAAAAGAAAAAGGAAAAAAAAAGCTGGAGAAGAAAGGAAGTCAAGAAAGAAAAATGAATTAATTTTTTTTTTTTTTTTTTTTTTTTTTTTTTTTTTTGCCTGTGTACATGTAAGCTTTTGTGTTTCTCTATGTAGGAAAAGAAATCTGTGAATGGTCAAATTTCCTTTCAACATCAGCCAGTTTCTTCCCAAACACTTTCTCAAAGTGTTCTACTTCACCTTTCTAAAAGCCTCATCCCACAGCCACACATCTTGTAGTTTTCTGACTGAGTAGACTCACAGAAAGGAAGAGTGGTTTTCTGGTTCTCTGCCAGATGTCCAGTGGTCCCACGAAGGCCAGAGATCCAACTGTCTGCCACCCTTGTGAAGATGTTGTGTACAGGATGATTCCCAGAGGAACTGGGGACCTGGTGAGGCCAATATACAAATATTTTCTTGCAAGGTAGGATAATGTGAATGGCACAGCCCACATCTGACCACAAGTCATGGAAGGTGTAACCCAAGGAGGCGTATCACCCAGGCTCTGAAAGGTATCATCTGGGAGGAACAGTTGGTTTGTGCAGCCTTTCAAGCGACTTAAATAATACCCGGTTTTATGGAAAGAGAAAGAAGAAAAGAAAAGAAAGAAAAAGACTTTAGTCTTTGGTACTGGATTCACTGCATGTCAGAGTGAGGAGACTGACAATGTTGACCTGGAAATATTCTAATTCTAGGCAATCAAATGGAGGTTTTTCCCCACCCTCTCCACACCAACATCTGGCCGGCCCCCTCTTTCTCTTAAAACAGTTCCTGAGGAGGCCCAAAAGTTCGTGGGTGATGCCTGCATGGGTACTGTTCTAATAAGAAGACTGGGACTTCCCTGCTTATTCACACAAATCCCCTGGTAAGAACTCTCTTCTAGGTGGGTGTGATTAATAGGGTCGATTCAACCACTTCTCTTACTTTAGTTACCATGAAGGACTCACATTAAAATGCTTAGGAAAGATTAGAGTTGGGCTCTTTTGACATTTGCTGGGGGTGTGAATCTTCTGCTATATTCCTGAATCTCGTGGTGGCTAAAGAGGTTGAGAGGATTTGCATTCCAATATGGGGACCACTGGTATGACCTTTTTCCTTGGCTCTGTGGGCAAGCCACCCACTGCTCTGCTTACTACCCGAGTGAACCTTGGCAATTATTTAATCTCTCTAGACCTCTGCTGCCTAATCCAGTACATGGAGATAGTCACACCTGCCTTGCAGAGTTATCGTGAGGGAAGCACCAGCTCCTGGTACATGGAGATTTTATTTATACATGAACACATATATGTGTGCGTATATACAGATGTGTACTTCAGTTCTCAAAAATTATCTCCATCTTTATAGCTCACAAGGTGATTTTTGAAAAGTCAATCAAGAAAGAAAGAAAAAAACCATTTTCCTCTCCAACAAGAAAAAGCAATTAAACGTCAAATATTAACTGTTCCTGGGAGTAAATTTTTTTAATGGGTTAAAGGCTTGGCCATTATAGACCTCCAATATGTAATTTCTAAGAAAGGACCAGGTAATATATTTTTTTAAATTAAGTGGAAGACAAAATGCTGGAACCAGTGAATCCATTCAGAAAGCACTTTTTTATCCATTTTCAGTAGCTTCCCAATTGCATCATGCCTTTTAAGAGGCCCAATTTGTTTAACAGCATTTTATTTTAAACCTTCACTTGTGAAAAGCATTGATTTATGATAGGGCTGATTAAAGCAATGGTGTCTTAAGCAATAATGATTTCAATTACAGGACTTTCACCAGTGTGCATTATTCTGATTTGCTCTCCATTCTTGCCACATTTTTATTCACAACGGAAGGGGTATGGATAGGTGATGTAATTTTGAAAAGTCCCTGGACAAATTTAATATCAGAAAGGAATGTATAGACAGATGGACTGATGTACCTTTTTTGATTATGTGAATGTATTGTATTTTAATATGCTCTGACAAACTTCAACAGCTCCCTGATGAGCTCCTACTTGGTATCATTAAGGTTATTTAGTGCTTGGATTCTGCTCAATTCCCACTGGAGCCACACTGAGGTTGCTGAAATGTACACACTACAGATTCACTCCAAGCCTACCACTTAGAGTCTTCTCTTTTTGTGAAGCTGGAGAAAGCAATTAAGCTCACACTTAGATATTTAACTTGTTTGAAGCCAACAGCCATAGAAAGGCATACTAAGCTGGGCATGACGGCTCACCCCTGTAATCCCAGCACTTTGGGAGGCCACGGCAGGTGCATCACTTGAGGCCAGGATTTGGAGACAAGCCTGGCCAACATGGTGAAACCCTGTCTCTACTAAAAATTCAAAAATTAGCCAGGTGTGGTGGTGGGCACCTGTAATCCCAGTTACTCAGGAAGTTGAGGCATGAGAATCGCTTGAACTCGGGAGGGGGAGGTTGCAGTGAGCTGAGATGAGATCAAACTACTGCATGTAGAGACATGGTGAAACCCTGTCCTCCTGACCTCGTGACCTGCCTACCTCAGCCTCCCAAAGTGCTGGGATTACAGGTGTGAGCTACCACACCCAGTCAAACCTTCTTGATTTTAAAGGGTGCATAAACACTGGCCAAATTCACCCTGTGGGCTACCTGTGCAATGCTCCCTAGTTGTGCAATGACTCCCTGTGTAGTCTGTGCAATGACTGCCTGTGCAATGACTCCCTAGGCAGTCCATCAAGTTATTGGACAGAAGACTGGCCACAAAACAGTCCCATTCTCTGCAAGAGCCTTTTTAAAAATTATCAAAGTATTTCAATTCTTCTACTGTGCAAACATTTAGTGGAAATCTATTATGTGCTAAGAACCATGAGTGGAGGACTGAGAACACAAAAAAAGAATAGTATTCCTTATCTGCCCTCAAGGGGATAATAGTCTATCATTTACATATATGAACTATAAAAGATTTGGGGGTTAAAAAACTAAGAAGGCTGTGCATGGTAGCTCACACCTATAATCCCAGCATTTTTGGAGGCTAAGGCGCATGGATCATGAGGTCAGGACCAGCCTGGCCAAGATGGTGAAATCCTGTCTCTACTACAAATACAAAAATTAACTGGGCATGGTGCCAAGCACCTGTAATCCCAGCTACTCGAGAGGCTGAGGCAGGGAATTGCTTGAACCCGGGAGGCAGAGATTGCAGTGAGCTGAGATCGCACCACTGCACTCTAGCCTGGGCAACAGAGGGAGACTCTGTCTCAAAAAAAAAAAAAAAAAAAAAAAAAAAAAAAAAAGAGGAGAAATGTAGTCTAACTTTGAGACCCAGTCCATCACATTTATTTTTAGTTAAGAGCCCCCTTTGCTACCATTTAGGAAAATTAGTTTGTCCCTATGCCGTACTTTAAACCATCATTTTAATTTGAGATCTAGTCCTGTGAATACCAAAGTCCGTGTAGGACATGTTTCTCTTAAAATCCCCAACAGCAGTTGGAAGGTAAAATTCCAATCACACCTTGATAGAATTTTTCTCTATCAAATCAACTTTACAGATTTCTTAATTAGGGGCTGATATTAACTCAGCCCTCACATGATTTAAATCTAGCTTTTAATCTCAGCTATTCTATGCTGCTATAGTTTTTATGAGGGCTGGCCAGCAAATGCTTTATGCTTTAATCTCTCTGGAAAATCACCTTAATAATTTTTTAAACTTTTGTGGGACAGGGAGTGGGTGGGGGAGGATGTGGAATAGAAGTCCCAAGATGCAAATGAAGGCATTGGAGTCCAGCTATTAGAATTTGTGGCTTAGCACTTGAAAAATCATGTACTAAATTGCTTTACAGAAGAAAATCAAATCAAAGTTAAGATTCTCTCTGTTCAAAGTTTGTAATTATTTCTCAGACTCCTGTTTGGAATGCCTTAAAAGTGCCTCCACTGAAACATATATGAACTTGTTTTCTCTTCCTTTCGGTATGTTGTTGCCATCCATTTCCTTCTCTGAAGGCATGGCCTGAAGAGAAAACTCTCACGTATCACCACTGTGGGCAGGATATGGAAACAGCCAAAACAGGTGGAGCACTGTGCTAAGAACTCGGCACTGAATTGATTTAACACAGCATTTGATACATTCTCTACCTTAATAAGAAGCAATTACAGGAGACCTCATTTCCTTTGTGGCATGAAATTCCCAGCCAAACTTGAGCATACAGTTCCCTTTTCCTTCCTCTTCTTCTCAGCCCATCCCCGTGAAGTCCTCCCCATTGAGCATTAAATCATAGGTAATGTGTTGTACCTGTTCTCCACACTGGATATTATAGAGCATCGGAAACTTTTTATTTGCTTTATAGGGATGACCATTCTCATAGGTCATTGACTTTCTTAATTAAAAGCTACTTTGACAATTCTTCTCCAAACCCTTTATGTGACAAGTAAAGGAGAAAAGACTGGGAGAAATGAAGTGACTTGCCCAGAGTCATATAGCCAGATCCTGTGACTCAGTGGTCTCGTGTTCTCTCTACCTCATCTCTCAGCCATCATAGGGATAATGGTTCTCAAACTGGAGTTTTCCGTAGGCTTCACAATCAACACTTACTTATTATAAAAGTATGAATGTGCCCTTATTTTATGCTGAGTGCCATGCCCATCTTCAGAGACTCAACAATGAACTAGGAGCATTCTAATTCTGATCAAATCCTGACCAGCTAATGACTCTTTCTCGCTGAATTGCTTAACAGAATAACTCCTGGCTGAATGTTGCACAGAGTGTGAATGTGGAGAGGAAACTTTGAACTTTCATCTCAATTCCTCTTCATTTTATAAAGGAAACACTGAGGCCCTCAGAGGTCTTAAGAGTATGTTCATGTTAGAGGTAGGTCTAGAACCCACAGTGCTGACCACTCAGTGAAGCTCTTTTCACTTGAGTACATTCATCTAATTCAGAATGTATCTATCATGGGGCCCACTCTATTGCATTTATTATACAAATGTCCTTTGTCATCTTTCAGGTAAGTTAGTTTCTCCCTTTGGTCTGATTGAAAGCTCCATTTTATTTTTTTGAGACAGAATCTCACCGTTGCTCAGGCTGGAGTGCAATGGTGTGCAGTCTTGGCTCACTGCAGCCTCCGCCTTTTGGGTTCAAGGGATTCTCCTGCCTCACCCTCCCGAGTAGCTGGGATTACACGTGCCTGCCACCACACTCAGCTAATTTTTGTATTTTTAGTAGAGACAGGGTGTCGCCATCTTTGCCAGCCTAGTGTTGAACTCTTAACCTCGTGATCCACCCGCCTTAGCCTCTCAAAGTTCTGGGATTACACGTGTGAACCACTGCACCCAGCTGAAAGCTCCATTTTAACTTGAGAACTAGTTATTTAAATGCCAACATTGATGTAGGATACATTCACATTAAAATCTCCAACAGCAATAGGACGATGGTCCCTGGGACCCAGAGTTTAGGCACCTACGTGATGGAACTACAGTGACTGGCAGTGTCCCTGGCAATAGCACACACTCATCCCTCTGACAGATTCAGAGCAGATCTGAGAAAGTGGTATCATAAGCTGTGGTCAACAGAGATACT